AAAAAAACTTCGGTCGATCGATCTTCCGACGATTTTTAATTTCTGGTTGAAAAAGGAGAAAAAAAAAAAAACTTCGGCGATCGATTCTTTCCGACGATCTTTATTCTGGTTGAAAAAAGGAGAAAAAAACCACTGAAAAACTTCGGCGATCGATCTTCCGACGATCTTTTATTCTGCGTTGAAAAAAGGAAGAAAAAAAAAAAAACTTCGGCCGATCGATCTTCGACGATCTTTTATTCTGTGTGAAAAAAGGAAGAAAAAAAAAAAACTTCGGCGATCCGATCTTCCGACCGATCTTTTATTCTGGTTGAAAAAAGCGAAGAAAAAAAAAAAACTTCGGCGGATCGATCTTCGACGATTTTTATTCTGTTAAAAGGTAAGAAAAAAAAAAAAAAACTTCTGGCGATGATTTCGACGATCTTTTATTCTGGTTGAAAAAAAGGAAAAAAGAAAAATAAAAAAACTTCGGCGATCGATCTTCCGACGATCTTTTATTACTGGATTGAAAAAAGGAAGAAAAAAAAAAACTTCGGCGATCGATCTTCCTGACGATCTTTTATTTCTGGGGTTGAAAAAAGTGAGAAAAAAAAAAAAAACAACTTCGGCGATCGATCTTCCGACGATCTTTTATTCTGGTTGCAAAAAAAGGAAGAAAAAAAAAAAAAACTTCGGCGATCATCTTTCCGACGATCTTTTATCTGTGAAAAAAGGAAGAAAAATAAAAAAAAAACTTCGGCGATCGCATCTTCGACGATCTTTATTCTGGTTGAAAAAAAGGAAAGGAAAAAAAAAAAACTTCGGCGATCGATCTTCCGGGACGATCTTTTATTCTGTTGAAAAAAGGTAAGAAAAAAAAAAAACTTCGGCGATCGATCTTTCCGGACCGATCTTTTATTCTGGTGGAAAAAAAGGAAGCAAAAAAAAAAAAACTTCGGCGATCGATCTTCCGACGCATCTTTCTATTCTGGTTGAAAAAAGAATGAAAAAAAAAAAAAACTTCGGCGATCGATCCTTCCGACGATTCTTTTATTCTGGTTGAAAAAAGAAGAAAAAAAAAAAAACTTCGGCGGATCGATCTTTCGACGATCTTTTATTCTGGTTGAAAAAAGGAAGAAAAAAAAAAAAACTTCGGCGATCGATCTTCCGACGATCTTTTATTTTGGTTTGAAAAATAGGAAGAAAAAAAAAAAAAACTTCGGCAGATCGATCTTCCGCACGATCTTTTATTCTGGCTGAAAAAGAAGAAAAAAAAAAAAAACTTCGCGCGATCGATCTTCCGACGATCTTTTATTTCTGTTGAAAAAAAGGAAGAAAAAAAAAAAAACTTCGGCGATCGGATCTCCGACGATCTTTTATTCTGGTGAAAAAAGAAGCAAAAAAAAAAAACTATCGGCGAATCGATCTTTCCGACGATCTTTTATCTGGTATGAAAAAAGGAAGAAAAAAAAAAAAAAACTCGGCAGATGATCTTTCCGGACGATTCTTTTATTCTGTTGAAAAAAGGAAGAAAAAAAAAAAAAACTTCGCGATCGATCTTCCGACGAATCTTTTAATTCTGTGAAAAAAAAAGAAGAAAAAAAAAAAAAACTTCGGCGATCGATCTTCCGACGATCTTTTTATCCTGGTTGAAAAAAAGGAAAGAAGAAAAGAGAAAAAAAAAAAAACAAGAGCGCATATCATCGCGTGTGGGTGGGGGGGAGGGGAGGGGGAGGGGGGAGGAGTGAGGAGGAAGAGTGGGGGGAGGAGGAGGAGGAGGTGAGGGGAGAAGGAGGAGGTGAGGGCAGAAGGAGGAGGAGGAGGGAGGAGGAGAAAGAGAATGAGAGAGGGGGAGGAGAAGGAGGAGGAGAGAGCAGAGAGAGAGAGATGAGAATGGGATGGAGAAGGAGAGGAGTTAAGCAAGACAAGAAGGAGAAAAAAATGAGAAAGAAAAAGAATCAGACTAACCAGATACAGGAAGGAAAAAAAAGAAAAGAAACAGATAACTTATTAAAAAACTGATTCCGGAAAGTACAGCCCCGCCCTCCGCAGCCAAGAAAAGAGAAGCGATAGCATGGTAGGGGTAGGACGGGCGGGGGAGGAGGGGGAGGGACGGGGGAGGAGGGAGGGGGAGTAGTGGGAGGAGGGGGGGAGTAACTCCTATCGCTTGACACCATTTCTACGGATTTAGGGGCGTGTTTTCTTTCTTTTTTTCTTCTTCTTTTCTTTTTTCTTCTGTCTCGGGATTTCCGGCTAAGTTCTGAACAGCGGATTTTCTCCAAGCCGACTTCAGTCCACGATTTATGTTCGGGCTTTTCATGTTTTATATGTTTTTTTATGATATATTTTTTCTTTTTTCAGAAGGTCGCTTGTTCCTCTAAGCCTTTTTAAATATTAAACATACTGATCTATTCGTCTTTTGATTAAAAATAAAATTAATTCCGAAATTATAGCGCATCTGATATCTCTCTCTCTCTCTCTCTCTCTCTCTCTCTCTCTCTCTCTCTCTCTCTCTCTCTCTCTCTCTTCTCTCTCTCTCTCTCTCTCTCCTCTCTCTCTCTCTCTCTCTCTCTCTCTCTCTCGACCAAACAGAGGAGAGGAAGTCATAAAAATCAGAGCAGAGCTGCATCGCAAACGAGTAAGAAGTGCTGAATGGCAGAAGCTTTCCTCATAACTCCACCAGAGCAATGAGTCATCAACTCATCCCAGATCTCACCAGCTCATCCATTCCCAGGGACCTAAATCAGGGAGTCTTCAACCTCACCCAAACCCACCTACACTCCTTAACTCACCCAAACTCTCCTAAACTCACCTAAACTCACCTAAACGCACCCAAACTCACCGAGAGTCAGTCTTCAAACTCACCCACCAAACCCACCTACACTCCTAAACTTACCCAAACTCACCTAACTCACCCAGACTCACCCTAACTCTCTGAAGCCTCGTCCAAACTCTCCTAAACTCACCCAAACTCACCTTACTCACCCAAACTCACCGAGACTCACCCTAACTCTCCTAAAACCCACTCCAAATCACCCTAACTCTCTAAAACCCATCCAAACTCTCCTAAAACCACCCAAACTCACCCTAGGTCTCTCAAAACTCTACTAAACCCACTCAAATTCACCCAAGCTCACCCAAAACTTCAAATCGAAAACGGGAGAGGGGGGGCTGACTTCGATCAAATTGGGGCGGCCTATAGGGGCGGGGGGGGGCGACAGGAGGCATGCGAGGGCGCGTGGGCGGCAGCGACGAAAGGCGGGCGCGGGGACAAGAAGGCCGAGGGGCGTGGTCACAGCTCTCGGGATGTGTGTCAGCTAAACTATCGTTGTCATCGCTAATAATAATATCAACAAGTATCAATGAAAATCAAGCATCTCGACGACAACAACAACGACGACGATGATAATGACGACAACAGAAAACCATAATAGAAGGCAGAAGTAATGGGAAGAAGCAACAGGCGATAAAGAGAGAAAAAGGAACTAAGGAGGAGATGGTGACGAGGGAGGAAATCTGACGAGTCCACACAACCTCACAACAACAGCAACAAAACAAACAACAGCAGTGACAGCAACAACAAAAACAACAGTAACGACAACAACAGCAGCAGCAACAACGATAACTTAAATCAATATGTGAAAAAATAAAATGCAGACGTGCCAGACAAAAAATAACTAACTAATCAAAATGAGAAGAAAATAAAATAAAATACAGAAATACCTGACAAAAACAACAACGCAACTACAACTAAATCAATAAGAGAAAAAAATGCAGACGTAGTGGAAAAAAAAAACAAGCACACAAAATAACAACTAAACGCAAAAAAAAAAGTACCCTACAAAAAAAAATAAACAAACACAACAACAAAAACAAAATCAACATGGGCAAGAAAAAATTGACAGCAGACGTACCTGACGACGTAGTTGAGACACACGACGTACTGCGGCTTGTGGTCCTTGGGCCCGTGAATGAGCGTGGCCTGCGTCACCAGCCACACGTAGCCGCCGCCCCTCGCCAGGAACCGGTACTGCCCCGTCTCCACCTGCCCCTTGCTGCGCACTGCAACGGGAGGCAGAAGGGGGTCGTTATTTAGGGGATCTCTGCGTTCACTCGGGCACTCTTTGTCATGCCAATTTACACATTATCGTATTCTTTATTGTGACCATACGTTCGTTATTACGCATTATCATATTCTTTATTGTGACCACACGTTCGTAATTACACATTATCATATTCTTTATTGTGACCACACGTTTGTTATTACACATATCTATTCTTTATTGTGACCACACGTTTGTTATTACACATTAAAATATTCTTTGCTGTGACAACACGTTCGTTATTATAGTATTATTCCCTGTAGTATTTACACATTCCTTCTGGCATTCTTTATACCAACATACACACTGCATTCTCCATCATGAAAACACGTTCATTATTACCATTTTTCTCTTACCAACATACACATCCATTATCCAATTCTTTATCATGAGAAGAACAGGGGGTGAACAGGATAACAGAAAGGGGGAAACAGAGGCCCAAAAGACGATGAAGAAGGGAAGAGGAGAGAGAAAGAAGGTCCAATCTCTATCATACCAACACTTTCATTTTTCATTATTTTTATCATTATCATTTCATTATTATTCATTATTAGTTTTTTCCATTATTCACCGGGACATCATCTTCGGTATTTTCCCTTTATCGAAGCGTACCCTTCCTTCTCCCTTCTCAATCACCCGTTTCTGTTTCAAAGTCGCTGTTTCCCCCATCTAATTTTCCTCCTCCGCCTCCAATTACATGCATTCCCCCCCCCCCTTCCCCTCTAAAACAATGCGATTACCCAATTTTACCTCCTCAAACAGCACAAACTAAAAAAATAAATTAATAATAATAACAACAAAAAAGAAAGAAAAAAAAACATCGCGCATAGTACGAGGATCGCGAAACCCTACGCACTCCGCTCGCCACTTTTCACTTACGTTCAGGGACGAGCCGAGGAACCTGACAGTGGATTTTGTCAT